TAATGTTAAGCGGAACAGAAAGTTCCTTTCCACATGTCTTAATAAAAGAAGGAGGAAGTTTATCGGGGCCCGGACCCTTCTTTCCATCTAACTGTTTAATTTTCCGTTGTATGTCACTCTCACTTATTGAAACTTGCGTTAGTATGGAAGAAATATGGTTATCGATTTCCGTGCAGCTATGATTGAGAAAATCATCTTGATTGTGATCATTAACAAAAACAGAGCCGAAATACCGTGAAAACAGTTCACTTATTGACTGACCGTTAGAAGCGGAGTCGCCAGCATAAGTAACCACGTTTGGTATAGAAACGTGACCTTTCCTGTTGTTAATAAATCTCCAAAATGCATTAGTGTCCTTCTGTAAAGATTCTTCTGTACTTGCAATGTATCTTTTATAGCACTCTTTGGTCAACATTTTGCAACGATGACGTAACATTGAAAACACATCATAATCACGTGGATTTCCAAATTTTTTGTACATTTTATGATACTTATTTTTTTCTATTATACAATTAATTAGAGGTTTACTAAACCAAACAGGGTAAGTATTATATTTATACGAGGTCAAAGGTGTATGGCGAGCAATTATTTCGAATAACATATCATAAAATATTTGTGTATTTTTATTAATATCCGATGACGATGATAAAAGCATGCTCCAATCCACGAAACGTAGGTCATTTTTTATTTTATTGTAATCACATTTGTTAAAATTTAATTGTTTATTATTGCATTTTGCCAAACTTCTTGAGACTGGCTGGGCTGATAAGCTTATTATGATCGCTGGATGATACTTATCCAACCTACTCATTGATTCTACATCACCAACTTTAACATTAATAAGATTTGAGAGCACTAAGTCTAAAATGCGGTCGATATTATTTTGTATGTAATTAAACTGTATTAAGTTACAAGAATTCATAAACTCTTCCAGTAAGCAGAGTTTCCCACTGGTACAAGGCTGATCTCCAGCACAAATATTAAGTTTTGAGGGAGAAGCAACACGCATGGCTGAGATGTAATCTGGTTGGTTAAAATCTCCCAATAACAAATAGTCGTCATCAGGATGATCGTTCAAGATTATTTTCTGACAATTAGAATAAAATTCATTCAGCTTATCATAATTTAAATCTGGAGGCAAATAACACACGCATATGTTAAGATGCGACGAAGATCCTTTCATAAACAGAGTTACCCAGACATCCTCCATATTACTATCCCAAGATGCCTGACGAATAACCTCAAATTTTTTCTGGACTGCTATTAAAACACCACCTCCCTCAATTTTATGAGAGGAGGAATCCACACGATCTCTCCTAAAGACAGCATAACGCGAGTCGAACACTTCTCCGTCAAACACTGACTTATTAAGATTCGTTTCCGTCAGGCATACTACATCGTAATTATTGGTAAGTAGATTCAAACGAAAGTCTACAAGCTTACTGCGCATCCTATTTACATTCTGGTAATATATTGAAAGCATAATTAAAATTATGTTAATATTAAAGTTATACACTAATTAATTATTAATAAAGATATAACTACTTAACTAAATACTTAATAATCAATATAACAGAAGTTTTTAAAGAAAGAAAAAATAATAATAATTAAATACAATAGCACAATTATTTGCAATTACTCGTTTCTCAGTTTATTAATAATTTCAATATTTTTAATATGAACTGCGGGACATTTCTCGTCCTTTCGAATATAAATTTGACCAAAACGAACCCAAACAAATTTATAATTTTTCTCTTTGCTCAGTTTTCTAGCCATGCTATGAAGTTCCTTAGCCTCAGGAGAAAGATGCTCAGATACATAAATCCTTGAAACCGCGCATGTTAAGCCGACGTGAGCGGTTCCAAGCTTATCTTTTGAATTAGACTTGTTATACCTAGTAACCGCAGATAGAACCTCATCACGAAGACGCTGGGATGACAGTGAGATTAGTATATTTCTTGGCCTTCTCGAGTCAGGATTCATTTTAGCAACTCGACGACAAGATTTGATATCTGCATCAGATATGTTGACACTCAAACACTCACAAAGTTTTTTAAATAAGTGATTAAGGTTCTCATGATTATTCTCCGGAACTTCGTGAATCTCAATATTGAGGTCTCGAGAAATTTTCTCCACCATAGAAACTCGATTCTGAAGCCTGTGTAAAGATTCCCCGGTTTTATTAAGTTGTAGTCTGAGTAACTCAATTTCTTTTTCCTTATCACAAATTTTGGATCGGATACTTTTCTGCTCAGCAGACATGAAATCCGTCGTTTGCGAGAAATCCACTCTCAAGCCCTCAACAGCACGATTAACCTCCTGAGACACCATTTCTGTGATATCCTTCCTAAGCGAGGATCGCAAATGAGTCATGAACGAAGAGCCAGGCGCTAGTTTCATATCGAGAAGCTGCCCTATGCTCTCCAAGGTCACTTGCCCGCTGATCGATTCCATGTCCGAGGAAGCATCCACTGCAGTCGAGTCGTAGGAAGTAAAAGAGGAAGAAGCATTGACAGTGTCATTCAAATCAGGACGCTTGTGGATCGGAGTATTGCAGTTAGTTTTACGTTTCGTAACGTTTTGACAAGAAGGACAGCTTAAAGACGCAATTTGCTTAGCGCTTAATTGTTTCCTTGAAGCGGGAGCAATATTCAGGCAATCAAAGCAGTATTCTGAAGCACATTTATTGCACTTAAATTTTTCCTTGCATAATTTTGTAGTGCAACCCTCACAATGCATTGTTAAATGTTTCCCAAATATAGCTCAATAAGCAATTGATACAAAATGTTCAAGCAAGTAGCACAAATAAATAAGCAGTAAGATGCATAATTTTAGTTACTGTACGTCAATGCACCGCAGTCCGTCGAGCGGATCACACAATCGCCACGCGCAGGCTCCAGAGTTCGAACACTACACGCCGCGCACTTTTTGTGTAAGAATTAGGACGAAGAATAAGTCCAACACACTCACAGTTTGTTCCAGATTCACAGTCAGCCAACAAAAGCATCAATCCGAAAGCGAGAGATCCGATACTTTTCAAAATGGCCGCGAAGCTAAATGGCCGTAGACCCAAGCAGAAACGAGAGGGCCCGAGTTTGAAGACCAAGGCCCCACACAACAGACACAAACTCTAAACTTTAATAAAACTAAACAATTTAATTACATTAATATAAACTACGAGCAGCAAACTACACACGTCCACTCAGCACGACAACTAGTGGGCGATTGGCCATAATTGATCATAATAATTGATCATATTTGATAGCTCAGACCCCAAGAAAAATATAAATGACAAACACGTATGCGTAAAACAATATGCCCGACTAATTTTCTATATCTTAATAATTTTTCTGGAAGTTAGACCAAAATCTACTTTTCCTGCATTTAATGTTGAAATTCAAAATACATCATCATAATGAGTGACTGTTGGAAAAGTTTTAAATGTGCTTTAAAAGTAAACACAGAGAAGAGTACCAAAATGAGAAAAGCCGCTTACAAAGTCGAAAGCAAAGTAAGTAGAATATTATGATTTTATATGTAGGTTTATTGCCCTGCCTACAAAACTTCACACTTCTTCTTCTTCTTACGTCTTCTCAGAATTCCGTGGATCGCGCACCGTACCAACATTTCGATCCTGAAAGAGCTCAACATCAAGGGGAGACTATCATCAACAGTCCAATTACGAATCCTCAAGTTCTTCGGGCACATCACTCGTAATGAGGACTCCATTGAGCGGTTGGTGGTGCAAGAGAAAGTCGAGGGCAAAAGATCTCGCGGACGATCTCCAACACGATGGACCGACCTCATAAAATCTGTGACTCACTCCAACATAAATGTTTGCTCTCACTCGCGCGAAACATCGTGCCACATGGCGTTGCATCGCGAGAGCATCGGTATCGCAGGATCCGACTGATGCATGACCACGACCACTCTGTCAAGAGTGTATGAATAGGAAGAAAGATTACACTTCAGTATTAGCTATTAAACACATATTGACGTATGTCAATGCGAAAACCTGTCCAACCTAAAACGCCCGGTGTACTTCATACCAAGAACTGCTACTATACATGATATTTAAATGACCGCTTATATTAATTTGTGGGATGCGGATAAATGAAGATCACGTCTATACATCACTGAGGACCATGTCTGATACTATAAATAACAGAAGGTTTTCTGTTTTTAAAAAAAATCTCCATCGATTGTTCAAAGAAATATAATCGCTTATATGATCACTTACGAAAAAATAATAATTTATAATTATCAAATCAAATCAAATCAAATCAAAAAAAAATTATTCAACATAAATGAAAGTACATACTTGTTGAACGTCAAAAGAACTACCGATTAGATATTATAAGTTATAGATATCCGTTGCCGGTAATAAGTATTATCCTTTGTTTATATTATCTGCAACTGATACACCGTTTAAAAATATTTTGATTAGAATTGAAAGCGCATCGATGATAGTCACATTAATTTTCATCCTAAATCAATGCCTATGCCACCGGACATTGAGAGAAAAGATTATAATAACGTCGACTTTTGAATCCTGCGCATCAAATCGTGCGATCTTGAGATCTAATGAATAATGAATGTGACACTCATTAATGGTTTGAACTAATCAAATGTTCATCAAGGTGTAACAAAAATAAGAAAATGGTGGCCACTCCAGGAGGAGTAATCCTGGAACGTATTAATAAAAAGGAAACATACCAACGGTGAGTTTCTACCAAATTACCGATTATCCTATCGATTGCGTTCTAAATGTAATTTAAAACCTAAAAATAAAGAACCAAGCCAAAACATTCTTCATTCTTATTCTGCTAATTGAAATGTATTTAAATAACTGACTTAAAAAAAGGTTACATGATGCGTATCTACATATATAAGTAAATGCGAACTTCTTTCACCCAATATACTTTTTAGGAAATGTCAAAACATTTAAAGTGTCAAAGTGAAATCGTGTAATTTCATTTATATTCGTTTTTAGTGTAATAATGTATTGTTCAATGGTGAATTTTCAATTCAGAAAAGCGTCAGCTCTGTCATCCAGTATCACCGGACTTTGCAGATCTAGGTAACTGCCACTTACTTTTAACCTTGTTAGTGAAATAAGTATTAGTGCTTGTAAAAAATCGATCTTTCCCTTTGCAAGGCATATATATTATATTACTTTAAAGACAAGGAAGCGGTTTAGTTCTCAAGGTCGCCTTTGCTGATATGATTAGTTGCCAGTCTCCCGTGAATACGTTGGTCGTCATTTACAACATCTAGGGCAAGAGACGGGTGGGGTGCTATTCTTTTAGATCCTTTGCAAAACAATATTGAAGTCAATTCTTTTAGTGTCCTTTCTTTGAAATTTAAATTGTGAGTTTATCGATATTAAAACTTGAAAATATTCTTGCTTAGAGGGCTAAACTCATCAATTGAAATGCATTGATCTGTAAGATTTTAGAAATTGGTTATATGTAAAACTTGAGGAAAATGTTACCTGGTCATGATTATAACAGATTTATGAATAGCCATTTATCCCTCTACCAATGAACCATGAGTGGTTTGGTTTACAATTGCATTCCTTTCATATCGATCGCTTGCTACACGCCTACGCAAGCCGCTTTACAGCACTACGAGCGTGCTACGACGTAGACATTTGTAGATTCAACATTTCTCTCAAAGAGAGTCTAGAAAACTTAGGTTTATGGTCATTTTAATTTAGAATTTTCACGTATTTACCACCCCTTGAGTACTGACGTCACATAAATACTGTCCGCCCAGACGGCGCCTGATCTGCGTAGGATATTTTATGTTACAGCGAAATCTGTTATTTTGCATACTTGTGGGCATTGTTGTGGAAATAATAATATATTAAGGAACATAAATAGCCTGAGATTGTTTTTTAAATATAGTACATTGTTAACTAACTAACGCGGACGTCTGCTTTTGTTTGAAACAATATTGTTACGCCGGTAAGAGTAACGCCATCTATTGCCGAATAGTCGAACGAATATCGAAGGATCTAGTAGCACCTAGAACGTTCGAGAAGTGCAACGCCATCTATTGTCAGATAGCGGAAAACACTACTAGAGATGTATGGAATATTCTCGATAATTCTAAGGATGAGGTATCGGCTATAAAAGCGTTGTAGAGATGGCACGCGGTCAGTCAGTAATCGGAACTACTCGAAGCGAAACAGCGAACGGATCACCTGAAGCGAAGCGGAACAAGGGAATTGAGAGTTTTAAAGTATTCGTTGAGTGTTCTAAGTGTTGAATACAGTTTTGATTTATACTTCGGTGGAATTTCATTTATCCCGAACCCTAGCGCGTAACAATATTTTGGTAGGTATTAGTCTGTATAGGATATTTTTATTGAAGACAAATAATCGAGGTTCTGTAAAGCTATCTAAAATAAATGAATATTTTTTTGTGTTATTTCTGGTACAACAACTTAATATAGGCCTTGAGTTCGACCAGACGAATTAGCAAAAAAAATCCTGTCTTCAAAATTTTCTTATCATGTTATAGTACTATGGAAAAAAAACGGATTTCTTGTTATCCTCCAAAATTAAATAAATATCGTATTAATTTCATGCGTATTTCTCATAAATCTTATTTTACTGGTAACGGACGAGAAACAAACGACAAGTGTTTCATTGTTCAATTCTTTTTGCCAGACCCTCGTGCTGACCTCATGTATACATCTAAGAAATTTGTGCCGAACATTTCACGTGTAATACGAAAATTCGTAACTGGAAAACATTAACCAAAACATGTGATACAGCTTTTCTGATAAACAAACGTAATATATATTTAATGTTTTCTGTGAATGTTTAAGCCCTCACACCTTGTACACGTTACGTAGAATGTCCTACAGTAGTAGTCGTTGTCTTTAAATAAATTATATTAGGATCGCTACACTGCTTTGTGGATATGTCACGGGGCAGAAAACATGATTGGGCAAAATAATATTCTACGTAAATATGCCGTTGCCAATGGTTGGATCGATAAAGCGATTCTGTAAATGTTTTACTTTAGTATTCGCGGATGTTTTAGACATACATAATACTTTCATTATTAATTCTGGTTATAAGAAGTTTATCTTTCAGTATTGAAAGTATATGGTTAGCTGGCAGTTAGACAGGTAAACGTTGAAACGCGAAGCTATATAATCTATACAATGAAGCGCAGCGTAGACTTAATATTTATTGAAAAAAACCGAACCTTTTATTAAAGTGAAGTGGATACTGTATTCAAAAGTGCATTGAAATTCCAAAAATATTCACACCGGACACCTCATAACTTCAAAGCCGCGCAGAATGAAGACCATAATAACACAAACATAAATCATAACTAGAAACATTTTAAAGCCATAACACGAAATGAAAATGATACGCTCCAATGGGAAATATCGGATTTAAATCCGCTCCAACTAAAGCGTAATTGTTGAAGTGGAAGTAATTGATCTTCATTGGTGTTCAGACAGTGTTAAATAAAATGTAGACGTTGCAGCGTTGCAGTTAATGGTGACAGTTTCCTTGAAAACACGATCGTTAGCTCGTAGCAATACTGTACTCTTGACTGCACAGCGGAGTTAACAAGATGAAATCAATGTTCGACATTACAGTCTGTGATTTTGTGCGAGACAATTCATTCTCAGTTAATAATAATTTAAGAACATTTATTTTAAAAAAAATACGATCCCCCTTTATGAGAGCTATATATTTTTTAAGCATGAATGTTAGTAACGTGTTTTCATAGTTCAGCTAATGCGTATTGCCATAACGTAGGCAATGCTATTACCTTATTGTTTAGCCTCCCGCAAACCAGTTATGCCTCACATATCAAGGTAAGTGACTTTATTAACTACGGGATATATTTTGTATTCCGATTACCTCTGAACACCGGGTGGACTGTTTTCATTGGATTTTTTGATATTTAGATGAAAAAAAAAATGGTACTGCTTTCCACTATGGTATCCAGTTGCAATATATCGATGTAATAAAATATTAGTGCCAACTGCAGACTTTATATTTATTGCATCGATGGGTGATCAACGATATCTCACTTAGTTTTAAGTGTCTTCTGAGCTTATGGAATATATACAATGTGAATGCAGCCATGCACTTTGTAAATAGCTTAAGGCTGTTTCAATCTCCAAATGGAATCGCATAAATACTTCGCGACAAAAACAGATGAGGTGCTACATACCCACTTGACCTTAGTAATGCGTTCCGGTCTAAAGGGTGGGGCTGAGTAGAACTGAGTGACTAGAGTGACTGAGTGACTAGAGAGTAGTCACTCTAGTCAGATACATATTGCAAAATAGAATCTTAATCGACTATTTTCCGGAACTTCTAATCTACGTGAAAGTCCCAATACAATTTCAATTTATAGTGTAAATTCGAAACGTTGAGGGAACTTGAAATAAATTGCTCTCCCTACAGAATTAGATATGGCGCTGTGGCTGAGTAGCTGTTTTGTATTTGAGCCAAGTTCGATATATATATTTTTTATAATAATTAAAGCTGCTGTTGCGGTTGGATTTCACGTTTATTATTTCCACTTTTACGTCTACAAATGGCGAAAATTGAAGGAAACGATCAATTTGTTTGGTTTTGTTGTCAAATACATTTAATAAATAAAATAAAAATTGATTTATTTTAAAAATTAAAACAACATTCGTCCTTTTTTATCAGAGGACTAACTGTAGCAATTAGGTGTTTGATTTAAAGTACTTGGCCTTCAAAGCTAAAATGAACTAGCAAATTAGCGGGTATGACCTGTCATCTCATCTTTAATTTCCGAGTCAATCGAGTTGAGCATCTGCTCGTGATATACTAAGATCTACCAAACAATTATGAACTGTTTTATTTTATATGGAAGGCTTAACTCTTTTTGGAACGAAGTTCCTTACGGCAGGCTTGAAGGAGATAGGGATTTTGCTGCGCGACCGAACTGAAAAAAATGTGATAGTAAAACCGTAAGAAAAAGTCCGTGGAATAAAACCGTTAAATGACACGTGCGCAGGTGCGACAGTCGTATACACAAGCGAGTAGTGTATAATACCTTTCTCTTTCTCCTTCTTTCTTTTCGTTCCCTCATCCCTTCTCTCTCTATTATCACTCCACCCCGCCAATGCATAGTATATACTCATGAATTCATGGACAAGCACGTGGCGAATACTCACATTATAGATACATTTTACTCTTGAGTAGCCACGTTTATTTTTTGCAAATTGTGTCGATTCTACATTAGCCGAAGGAACTTCGTTCCTACCTGGTGTTCCACGACACCACATCTTTTTTTATTGCGTTTGCTTTCAAAACGGTAATACTGTGTCTGCGAAACAAGAGCTTTGAAGAAGCGAGCAGAATTTTTAAATGCATTTTGGGCTTTGAAAAAATATTGTGTTCGTTTCTCTCTCTATTCAAAAGATTCAATACTGAAAATGCGATTTTCACGTCCAGTGTTTTTGTCGGTTCACTTTTTTTTTTAAACTCAAAATACGTGCGAATCTCGCTTGGGTCGCTCACAGTTGTTTGAAGAATATCAACCACTGCTTTCGTTCACACTGATAAGTTTCCCAATTTAAATTGAAATTATCTTACTTAAAAGTCTTTGTTGAGAATCACAAGATTCCAGCATTAGTCCGCGGTAAGTGGCCGTATATAGAATTTGTTGTCTTATCTTTATTAGCTTGAACCGTCTTCGAATTTTAATAAAGTTTAATTATGTTTTTTTTTTGTGCAAATGTAATAAATAGTATAAAATTACACTATACGTGGATACTCTGCTGGCGAGGTATTGGGCTTGTGATTAAATTATTGATCTGTATATGAAATATGAAGCTATGATTCTCGATATATCTTGTTACATGAAACTGAAAATATGTATATTCCCCAGTGAAAAGCAATTGAAGAAAGTAATAAGAAAATTCTAGTTTCGATGTCATCTAGACGCTCAAGTGTTGAGTCGAGCTTTTTACATATTTTTTTGAACTTTGACATAATAAAGTATGTATTTATATAAAATGTAATATTTTTATATTTAAATTTATTTTTATGTATAAAATAGTAATATTATCATTATTCAGTTGAAATGAATGGATATATTATGTTTTTTTTTAAAACGATACGTGCTTAATTTCATTTCTTTGATTGACTCTTGTCCCCCTGATAGTTGTCTGTCTGGAAGAGATCGCTTTCGGCGATAAGACCGCCCATAGTTTTTTTTTTCGGACATAGTCTTTTGAATTTGTTTTCATTTTGTATCGGTGTACTTTATCTGTTCTAAGATATAATTCGGTTGCTATAAAAAAAACTTTTCGACTATTGCTTATCAGAGAAATAAAACGTATTTGAAGGACATTTTATAGTTTATTTGTGTTTAGTTTTATTTAGTTCGTGTATCAAATCGGTAAGACGACATACGTAAAATGTTTTGATGATACGAACTCGATCATGGAATGGTTGTTTGGTTCATGAATAACCAACGCATCTATAGTGACGTCATAATAAATGATTAACGCTAAACATACCATAACGGGCCAAATGACCCATTTTGAACTTTTGCATTGAAAATGCACATATCATCTATTGCTTTTGCACATTTGACTTCATGACTCTTCTTACCAATTAATCTACAGTTATTATACAATTTTTTTTCTTTTGTTTTGTTTATTTTGAGTAATACTTATCGTATACCGTTATTTATTAGCTATGGTAGAAATAGGTACCAGTAAGTGTTGGTATGATTAGTGTTAAATAAATGATGCGGCTGATTAAATAATAATAATATTAATAATATTATCAGATAGCAATGTGATATTTACGATTTCAATTTAACTATGGTATATTTAAATGTTTTTTTTTTATTGCTTTGATGGTTGGACGAGGTCACAGCCCACCTGGTGTTAAGTGGTTACTGGAGCCCATAGACATCTACAACGTAAATGCGCCACCCACCTTGAGATATAAGTTCTAAGGGTCTCAGTATAGTTACAACGGCTACCCCACCCTTCAAACCGAAACGCATTACTGCTTCACGGCAGAAATAGGCAGGGTGGTGGTACCTACCCGTGCGGACTCACAAGAGGTTCTACCACCAGTAATTACGCAAATCATAATTTTGCGGGTTTGATTTTTGTAACACGATGTTATTCCTTCACCGTGGAAGTCAATCGTGAACATTTGTTGATTACGTATTTCATTAGAAAAATTGGTACCCGCCTGGGATTCGAACACCGGTGCATCGCTCAACACGAATGCACCGGACGTCTCATCGCTTAGGCCACGACGACTTATGTACATATAATCACTCCTACCCATTGACAAAACGAAATTGTTTTAGCTGATGCTAAAGGCATTGGCCTGTTTACGTTTTTTTATGATTAGAAAAAAGGATTTAAACTTTTAGATAGTTGCATTTATTTGATTTAAAACGTACTTCTTTTGTTTCAGGAAAACATTCGGAAAGATCTCGAAATTTTCCGGCTTGCTAAGTCCTGTATGCCAAGTCGCCGACGGTCATGCGCAGCGCCTCAAACACCAGATAACGTACAAGGCGTACGTCCCGCCCTGCTACCAGGATCACGACCACAAAAACATGGCGCTGAAGAGGCCGATGTCCCCACATCTCACCGTGTACGCTCCCACTTTAGTGGCTATGACGTCCATCGGACAAAGAATCACAGGTATGATGTTTTCAACCGAATCAAAACAAAAATAACTTATAATTTCAAATTATAATAAAAGTAAATTTAGGTACGTATTCTTGTCGCGTACATCGCTACTTATGCAATATTTTCTACATTAGTTCCGCTACTCGATAATCGATAAAAACTAGTTTTTATTTCCCCACTGTAATACGACCCGGTCATCGTTCTCGTCGAACTCGTCTCTTTCGACGAACATTATTATTTATTGTCATTATTATTAGGGAGTCCAACACTCATATATATATATATATATATTAGCTTATCCATTAAGTACATGTATTTTCTACATGGATACCAAGTTTCAAGTCAATCAGATGGATGGTTCAGTAGTTATAACGGAACATCCGTAAAAACCACTGTAGATTTATATACACTAATTTAATGTAACTTAAATGATAAGACAGGTAGAGACAAAAAAGATACATAATTTCGGGTTTTTCGGTTCTTCTTTTCATTTCAAATTTTATAATTGCTTAATGAAACAATTTTTTTTTTAAGCAATTTCATAGTTTCTATCTCAGGCCTTGAGCGCGGCGACTGAATCAAGAAATTCCGTAACAAAAATAACCTGACACTCACACTACGCCTACTATGTAGCTCGCGTTCAACACATTCACACGTTGCGCTTGTGTAGTGTATGTGAATAAGCACGCGGCGTGACGTCGCGCTGCCGCATGCACATAATGATAAGTCTGCCCATCTCTCCCTCGCGCGGTCTAGGTTATGAGTGTGAAGGGGACAGTTAATATTTTGCTTTTTTTAATGTTTATAAATATAGCGTGGTCTTATTTTACTGTTGCTTTAATATTAAATTATTATTGTCGATTTATAATTGCATAAGTTGATAAAACATGCTATGCAATAGCTTTACCGCGGCAGTCTCTGAGTGCCACACGTGTTTTTTTTTTAGTAGATTATTTCTACATAGTATTACTACAAAAACTGAGTCTAATATATTGTGCACCTTAGATGTTAAAATAAGTAAACGGTCTTGGCTATTGTGCGCGCTAAAAAAATTGAGATATATGTATATAAAACTCAAACTGGCTAATTGGTAGTCTTGTTTTTATTCAATATTTATTATTCTAAATGTATGAAGCACCGGTCCAAGTCAACATTATATACTGATATATATGTGATATACTGGATGACACACCACTCTTTATTCTCCTTATTACTAATGAGGCGTGTCTGAACAATTAAAAAGTCAGTTTGAATCTTCCCCTTTACCGAATTGAGATTAACACGTCCAGAACACTACTTAATTATAGAACTGCATTGTAAATATTTCGCAAAAAATACATTTTTCGATGAAGCCACTATAAAACGACCATCGTAGAAGTATACAAGGCCATGTTTTAAAACTGCTAAACTGTTCACAAGCTTATAGGAACGTTACTCAAGTTGTCGGAAGATAAACGTGGAAAAATAATCATTTCCTCACTAAACATTATTGCTTGTTGAAAACATTGCAAGGGAACGTTGCTGAAATGCACTTGGTCGCTTCCTTCAGGATACTTAGTAAAGAAGGCTGCAATAATTCTGTTTAGACGATGCTACCTACCCACAAAAGGTTTTAATACAAAGTCTGCTTTAGACTTGCGCGCGGCCGCAAAACGTGATCCGGTAAATTGAATGCTTAAATTTGTGAAGAGGCATTATAATAAAATAGAATATCTATAGCACGACGAATTAGTTATACTGTATACTAGACTATTCATTTGTCGCGTAAACATTTTAAACTGATGTTGAAATGTGACTTTTTTTCCTCTGCGCTGTTTGAAAATCTAAATTTTATTTTAAGTGTTTGTAATAATAAAATGCAAATCGTTGAACAAAAAATTGATTGAAGTAAAGGAAACTTTTACTGGTGGTAGGACCTCTTGTGAGTCCGCACGGATAGGTACCACCACACTGCCTGTTTCGCCGTGAAGCAGTAATGCGTTTCGGCTTGAAGGGCGGGGCAGCGGTTGTAACTATACTGAGACCTTAGAACTTATATCTCAAGGTGGGTGGCGCGTTTAACTTTGTAGATGTCTATGGACTCCAGTAACCACTTAACACCAGGTGGGCTGTGAGCTCGTCCAACCATCAAATAAATAAATAAAGATGATACCGAAAAAGTTCCTACCTATGGTACGTTACAATAGATATATGGAAATATAAGCCACGGAGGGTTGAGGTCAGACAGGAAGCCGGTCGTAAAACGTATGCCAAATCACTATGCAACATGATAACAGGACAAGCTGCCGCCTTGACATGATGTGAGATATGGGCAAGAAGAAGTAGTACTTGTCTAAACCAAACTCAAACCAATTTGTTACGGTCATCAATAATTGTAAATAGACATGCTTTAACAAAAACCGACTTCAAATAGAAAAAAAAAAGATATTCCAAAACAAATGAATATACACTAAAAACAATAATCATCGAAATCGGTTGGCGTGATATTGAGTTACTTAGTTATTCATCTCTTTGTCGCGCACGTATTTAATGCAAATTTAAGACTTATATTAAGGTTTTCTCATGGATACCATTCTCAGAACTGGACTAAATTGAAATGGGACCACACGGGAAGCGTCAGCTTTCTAATAAAAAAAGAATCATCAAAATCGATTCACCCAATCAAAAGCTATGAAGTAACAAACATAAAAAAGACATACATTCGAATTGAGAATCTCCTCCTCTTTTGAAGTCGGTTAAAAATGACATGACAAACTCAAACACAACAGTGAGAGTTAGCATGCACTCTACACGGGCTGTATGGGCTTAATTTATTTTAAATCTATTATTTTCCACATAAAAAGCGTCGTTTTTTACTTATTATAAAACGATCCATTAAATTAAAACGATTACCGAATGCCGACTTGTATGCAGCTCATCTTAGGACTATTAAAAATACGTTAATTTAATTCTGCAAAAACAAAACATGATATTAGCGGACCTCCACGGATCCAACAACGTACAGTCTAGTGTTTCATAACTATTTGATTCGGTGTTCGAACGCGAATGAATCCAAGCAGGAAATATCGTGTTTTTAATTATTAAATTAATTTCAAACCTAAGCTTGAAACAATTAAGAGATTCGATTTCAATTGAAAACTCGAATGCGAATAGTTCTTCTTTGAATATTCATAACCTTCCGTCTCGAGCAAAATGCAATTCAATTAAAGTTTTAAAAGAACAAACCTTGCTAATGCAATTTGTTTTGCTGATGCAATTTTTAATTGTTATCGGACGAACCGTGGAGTACCATCGGTTTGCACGGAGAATTGTTTTTCATTCAAATCGATTAGCAATTCTAGTGTTCTATTATCAATAGTCCGTGGAAACGTCGGAAGAACATACGTTTAGATTTCGTTGCTTCATTATGAATTAAAAATCGCCTGAAGTCCAGTTGGTTTAGAGATTAAATTCGTACTTTTTATACGAGAATGTAATCACATTTTAAATTTAACAATTTAACTAAGTTTAAAGTCTTAATTATCGTACTATTAGGCTGAATTTTTTTACTGGTTGTAGGACCTCTTGTGAGTCCGCGCGGGTGGGTACCATCACCCTGCCTATTTCGGCCGTGAAGCATTAATGCGTTTCGGTTTGGAGGGTGGGGCAGCCGTTGTAACTATACTTGAGACCTTAGAACTTATATCTCAAGGTGGGTGGCGCATTTACGTTGTGGATGTCTATGGGCTCCAGTAACCACTTAATACCAGGTGGGCTGTGAGCTCGACCACCCAAATAAGCAATAAAAAAATAAAATAAAAATATAAGTATGTGATCCTGAATGTATTTTCTTTTTTTCTGTTTTTATTAAGTACATACACAAACAAGCTGGTGGACAACTTAGTGTAAAATTGTTACGGGGCTCATAGACATCATAACATGAAAGCCACCAGTGACCTTGAGATGCGGTCTCTTTTATTTATTCTCGTCAAGAGGCTACCGCAGTCAATACAAATAATAAAAAAAAATAAGAAGAAAGATGATTTGAAAGATAACAATCGTGACCGCGAAGTATTTCGAAACCGGATTAAAATTAGCTGTACCGCAAATAAATTCGATGCGACAAAGAGCCAAAGGCTCTGCGGAGACTTAGTACTAATAAATTGAAAAACTGTAGACCGATCCTTTATGGTGACGCACATTATCCTACGAAACTACGGCAACGTGAAAATCCGTATCAGGATGGTGATTCACTGATTTTTTTTGAAGTGAAAACTTCTTTGGAATCGTTGTGATTTCAAACCGGATGCAACGGAAAAAATGACAGGTAAGAGACACAAATACAAAAATGTGTAGGATGAAGCCAGCAAAGAATGAGACAGAAATATACATAGTATTTAATACAGCGCCATCTGTGAGATTTTTTAATACTAACGTGTGTATGAAAGCTCTTGTAGTGAATTTTAATTTAGGATTATACGTGAAATTAAAATATCAATTCACAGAGGGCGCTACCTTACAATTATTTACTAATGACAAAATTTTACATATACTTAAGACGTTTAGGATAATTGTATTTTAATTTTGGAAGGTNATTTTTTAATACTAACGTGTGTATGAAAGCTCTTGTAGTGAATTTTAATTTAGGATTATACGTGAAATTAAAATATCAATTCACAGAGGGCGCTACCTTACAATTATTTACTAATGACAAAATTTTACATATACTTAAGACGTTTAGGATAATTGTATTTTAATTTTGGAAGGTTTCACTTCTACCACGTGTGAATTGTACACATTTTATTTTTTTTGTTATTAAAATCCGACCCACTCAACTAAATCTAAAATCTAAATCACTAAAGCATATCGATTTCTCAGTTTTGTTCTATATGTTTTAGTTGCACTTAGCTTTGATTGAAATACAAAAAAATATATTTCTCTTACACGATTACGTGCATTGACTTTTGCGATCACCGTCGTCTGACAAGAGCGAGTTTTTTTGAGGTTTCTTTGTTAGAACGGGTGGGTACGAC